AACGTTGATCGTTGATTGTTGAACGTTAAACGTTGATTGTCATTGTTGATTGTTGAACGTTAAACGTTGATCGTTGATTGTTGAACGTTAAACGTAAATTGTTGATTGAACGTTAAACGTTGAACATTGATTGTTGATTGTTGATTGTTGAACGTTAAACATTCAACATTGCTCGTTGAATCTTAAACCCTTTTTTAAGCAGACTGATCGTTATACATTGGATAATGAATATTTGACGTCAGACATTGGACAAGATATAAGACTTTGGACTTTAGACATTGGATATCAGACATAAATTGGACATTGGGCCTTAGAAATTAGACATTTTATATCAGAATTAGACATGAGACTTTGGACATTGGACATTGGACACCGTACATCAAACATGGACCATTAGACACTAGACAATAGATATTGGACATCAGACAGTCTTGAGTAAACAATGTGTTTGTAATATCTCACATTGGACATCAGACATTGTAGATTAGACAATCTGCGTTTCCTTTTTTGTATTATCTCGCTAAAATATGTATGCCTTAAAGGTGGTTCAATTTATCAAGAGGGGGAGAGTAATGAGACTTTTGCTCGAGTTTCTAGATCCTAATTGTTCAATTTAAAAATTGGGGAAAAAATAAAAAAGATATTCGCAATTTAATCTAACTATCTATCTATTTAGTACCTGGTGATGGACTACTACTGTGGAGGGGATCTGTTGACCCTGCTCAGCAAGTTCGAGGATCGTTTACCCGAGGACATGGCCAGGTTAGTTTCTCAAGTGCTCGGTGTTGCCCGTGGAATTTTACAAACAAGTTTTCGAACTTTCAAATTTTGAAAGAAAAAAATTTAATTTTATAGAAAAAAAAACGTATTTTTTAAGCCCCATGTCAGCCCCGGGGAACCAATGAGTTCCTTAAAAAAGTGTTGTTAATTTAGTCCTGTCGTTCTAGTGCCTCGCAACTAAGTTTTCTATATAGGAGTCAACCTATTTAACTAAGAACTTTAAATCTTGCTAATACCGTGGTTCTACAGAGTTCCTTAGTCAAAATTTGAGGCAAATCGGTTAACGGACTCCTAAGTTATGGTCGGACAGACAAACAGAGATTACAACTTTAAATATAGTGATATGAGCGAAGTGCTTATTTTTACATATTTCCTATTTTTTATATTTACGGGTTCTTAAAACACGACCATAATTATATGTCATTAGTGAAATTCATTTTTTTCATTTCATCTTCGCAACATCTGAACAATTTCTCTTAATCGACAAGATGTTAAATTTCTCGGTTTATGATATTTGCGACACCCCCCCTTAATTCCTTTTTTTATGTTCCTCATGTCATACTGAATATCAACATTTGGAAATAATATTGTTGTGTCAAAACATTTTTTGAGATAAAAATAAAATTATTTTTCTTTTGCCAATTTTTATAATTTTTGTAAGATTTTTTTTTATGAAACTGTTGTGCACTTTCTAATGCTTACATAGTTTGTAGTGAATTTTATCATTGACGCTAAAGTGTGGGACAAGATTAAATCTTTGACAAGGAGAGAAAATTTTATATTCTATGCACATATGGAGGAAACTTTCTTACAATATATGTTCAAAATAATATGTTATATTCAAAATTATTTTTTGGGGGGTTTTGAAGGACTACCTTTTAAAATTCTGGAGGACAGAAAAGCGCTGCTACCATGAGCCAAGTCGCAGAATCATCTCCGAGACCCACATTCTGATATTATTTTGTTAGTAAACAATTTGATTTCCCCTTCTGCACTTAGTGGCTCAACAAACGTGGATCGGATGTGATTCTACGAATTATGGCTCTTGATTACTGTCACCCCTTCCATGAAAACCCTGAGCTTTGCAGCCTTGACTTGCCTTAAATTGAATGTAAATATTATTTTTACCCTTATCCTAACACGAAAGTGCATTAAAGGAAACCCTGTTCATTGTTAAATTTATGAGAAAGAAAAGCTTTAAAAATTTATTTCTGAATAATGAAAAATATGCATTTCTCTAAATTTGTTGATAATCCGCCTCAATTTGGTAATATTAAGGATAGGTTTTAAAGGTTCTAAGAACGTATCTCATGTAAAAATCTTGGTAAAAACTGCCAACCTTAAAACCAGTTTATATGCAGTTAATCTTCTTGCTGACGCATTTATGTGCTGAAAACCCCCACGTTGCAAACATGTTGACCGAAAAACTTACTGTGTAAAAGCGTAACTGAATCTTATTTTACGAGAATTGTTTTTTTTACACATTCTTGACCATTCCCCCCTCCCCCTTTGTATGCTTTGTTTAAGATCCCCTTCAGACCCCCTGAACCCCTTTTTCCACCCCTCCTGATTCCAGATACCCAGGATTCCCCTTCTTACCCCCTGGATCCCCTTTCCACCCCTTCGGACCCACGGATCATTTTTCCATCCCTTCCGATGCTTGGATCCCCTTTCCACCCCTTTTAACACTGGATTTCCTGTAAAACCCTTTTGACCCCCCTGGATGCCTTTTCCACCCCTTCTTACACCATGATCCCCTTTCTGACCCCCTATCCTCAGGATCCCCTTCTGACCCCCCTGGATCCCCTTTCCACCCACTGGTTCCTCCCACTTGTGTTCTTATGCCGTCATATCCAGCATATCATTCAATCCTTTGATATGGGTTCCCAGGGAGGATGCAGAAAATAATAAAAATGCAGTTTTTATTAGAACCCTCCCCCCCCCTGTTCCCACGTACCTTCCTTCTATCCCCTGCTCCATTTTATTTAAGAAAATGATTGTTTCTATCCCAAAAATTTTCCTCAAAACCAGTATTTAACCAAAAAATCTCTTTATATAAAGTAGTCATCTCTGTAAGTCTGTTCATTTGTATGTCTGATCCTAACTCATGAACCTATTTGTCTAAAATTTAGTTTGAGGAACTCGGAAACCCCACGGGAATGTTTTAAGTTAAGTTTAACAATTCGGAAAAGCCTAGCTTTCAGACAACGCTGGGTTCCCAAGTTAGAAACATGTTGAATAATAGTTTATAATTTTTAGGTTTTATATTTCCGAGATGGTTCTGGCGATCCATTCTATTCACAACCTGAGATATGTACACAGAGATATCAAACCTGACAACGTTCTCCTAGATGCTCATGGACATATTCGACTAGCAGACTTCGGGTCATGTCTTAGGTGGGCCTTTAAGTTGCGATGCAAGTCTTTACATTGAAAGTCTTTTTGGTCAAATCAATCGTTAATGTTCAAATTTTAAGTCCTTTAAATTAAAAGTCTTTTTGGTTTAAAAAAATAGTCTTCTATGTTCAAAGTCTTGAATGTCTTCAATTTTTTTTAAGTCTTTAAAGGGTCTGTCACGTTTTGAACAACGGTATCTTTTTCTTTAATATTTGAGTGTTTAATGATGATTTTACTGATCTTGATCGTTAATTATTATTATTATTATTATTATTATTATTATTATTTTTCACAGTGAATTATTTTCTAATTCCTACCTCAAAGATGAACTCGATAAAATATTTCCAAATCAAGATTGTTATTATTGTTCATTAAAAGAGAATTTAAATTAAACAACCCTGTATGTGTGTCTCCATGAAATTAGCGTAATTATTGTATTTTATTTTCTGTTGACCTACACGCGGCCAGTTGCAATTCTTAGAATCCAAATTTTCTACTTTTTTTCCAGAAATTTATCCCTGGGAAATTTTATTCTTTAGACGTCTTCTATAGAATTGTACGGGTACAGAAATCTGGTTATAAAAAAGATAGGGTTGGAAAACCCCCGTTTTTTTTAAAACCAGCCCACCGGGTTTTATTGGGTTTAAATTTTTTTTTTTATAACCCATTTAATTTATTTAGATTTAAAGCTTTTTAATACATATGAATCCTTCATTCTTATGATTTTTTGTAATTTTAATCTAACAATGTGTTTAATGTTGTTTAATAAAATTTAATGAAATTCTTAAAATGTCAAGAACATGAATTCTCTCATATCGAATATTTTATTTTTAAGTTTTTTTTTACATTTTTAAACAGATTGTTTTTGTGATAAATATGCAACACATTTTCTTAATTGATATAAGTAAATATTATGGCAGTATGTCTCGGTGCAGGTTTTTGCTATATGTTTTAATCAAAATTAAAAATAAATAAATGTTTTTAAAAAATATTTCGAACTAGAGTTAAAGCAAGTTCATCTACTCCTTCAACTTTTATTTGTGGCTCTATCTGAGAGCATAATAGAACAAAAAAATCGCGGATTTGATAAAATTTTGTCGTTGATTTTAAATCTTTACTAAAATCAAAATCTTTGATGACAAAATTTTGTATTTCTGAGAGCAGTCATAAACCTTCCTTGGGGTCATGTGAGGTCCCACAAAAAATGTTGGCCCGATCGGTTCAGCCGGTGTCACGTTTATAGGTTACAAACAAGCAAAGTATAAACAAAGATTGTCTGTACAGTGTACAGTGTACAGTCCATATATCCTGTAAACTTTAATGAATGTATCTATCTCTCTATCTTGAAATTGGTTTGTTTATTTTACACTGATTATATTAACTTGGCATCCTTATTCCTTATTGATATAAAGCAAAAGAAAATGTTTTTTCCTCTGAGAATAGATATAGATTTATTATCATCAAAAAGTTTTAGTTCACTGTTGAAATTCCAAAGTGTAAATAATTTTTTTGAAATATGCTATATTTAGAATGTACTAAGACATTTCGATATTTCTAATAATTAACGAGAGACAGAATTTGTTTTTTTAGAAATACTAGCCTTAGAGGGCGCTTCGCGCCCATCTTCTAAATTAATTGTGAACATGTTCTCTTTGTGTACATCGTAAAACAAAACAAAAATAATTCGCGGATTTTCACAAAAAACAGACAAACAAACAAACAAACAGACAGATAAGCCAAATTTATATATAGATTTACCTTTCACAAGACATAATAAACTAGTTGTTAGAAATAATTAACAAATTGTTATTTCTATATAATTTTGTCTAGACTGAAAGAGGACGGCACGGTACAAAGTAATGTAGCTGTAGGGACACCAGACTATATCTCACCAGAAATTTTAAGGGTAAAATTTTTTCTCTGAAACAAAATTCTTGTAAAATCGTTAAGAAATTTAGCAAGTAATTTAGGAATTATTGTTAAGTAATTTTCATATTATAAAGAATGTAAATCGTTTGTAGGCGAAAAAAGTTAAACAATTTAAAAATCCAATTGAAGAACATTATGCTTCAGTTGATTTTTAAATTTAATTAGTTATGCCCATTAATGACGATTATTATTGTGTCTGTAAAGCATGTCTTTTGCGTAATTCTTGGTGATTTTTAAGATTTTTCTTCTTAGTTAAAATGTTTGAATTTGGACATCTTTTGATAGATACATTTTATCTTGAAGAATTTGAATTTATGGCTTTTAAAAGGACTTTTCATTTAAAAATGATGGATCACAAGAAAAATAATGACTGAAGTACAATTTTTCCAAAATTTTTGTTTTTTATAAAAGTTTGAGGATAAATTTGTACGTTTGGCGAAAAAATGTCTTAACCAAAGGAGCAATCCCATTTAACGAAAGTTTAAATATTTTAGGCTATGGAGGACGGTCAGGGCCGGTATGGTTCTGAGGTTGATTGGTGGAGTCTAGGGGTGTGCATGTACGAGATGTTGTACGGTGAAACACCGTTTTATGCCGAGTCCTTGGTGGAGACCTATGGCAAGATAATGAACCATAAGGTAGAAAGATCAAGCTCATTATCAGCCAGGGTCGGATAAAGGAATTTGTCGAAGTTGTATACATGTTTTTTAACAATAAAACTTATTCTTGCCCTGAGATTTATCTTATAGGGAGTGTTCGTAAAAAAGGAAATGGGGCATAGGCTTAAGTCGAAAAATATTCGATGGTGATTGCTACTAATCTTACTTCTGTCTGTTGCGTTTATTAGGAGACAATTGTTAAAAACGACTCATACCGAAGAACGTAGCATCCATACAAATTCAGAAAATTGCAATAATCAACAGGGATCGCCAAAAAATCTATTCAATTCCAAACAAAACAAATCATTCAGATATTACGACCCATAATCATCGATTTTTTTCGACGCATTCGTATACGGTTGATATTTCATAATATACTTTGGTTGTTTTACATACAATGCAACGAGGATTTTTTGTCCGCTACGTGTAACCACAGAAACATCGAGGGCATAGAAGTTTTTTTGTTTTAAGACAAAAATCATCATCAAAATAATAAGTCGTTTATTATATGTTTAATATTTGGGAGCACTAGGATTCTTTTAGGTTTACTTTGAATGATTTTTTTTTCATCTGTCTTGAAAATTCTGCGGTTCGGATGTTGTCTGGAGAGGTTCATGGCATCTGACAAACCCCTTTCTCGTTTATATATAATGTTAGTTATATAATTATTTTATTTTAGGTTGGGACAAAACGGGATAAATGATTTTAAATCTCATCCGTTCTTCTCAGGAGTAGACTGGGAGCATATAACTACTTCAACAGCACCCTTCATACCAGAGGTAGGGACTGATCAGTCCCCCCCCCCTACAAATCCCCCCCCCCCCCCCCCCCCCCCCACAACCGTGTAAGATAATGGGTGGGCTTGTGTAAGGGACTGTAAGCGTAATTTCAAGTGAACCTCCATCGGAATATGGAAATGTCCGATCTAAAACGGTACCCTCGAAACCTTAATCGGATATAAAGTGTGTCGTTTTTGTGACTCAAAAAATGTTTATTTTTTGTGAGTTTTTCCATTGCTTCTTCTAAACAAGAATGAAAGAACAAGAATGAAAAGAAACGAAAACATTGATATCTCATTAATAGTTGATTAGACAATGCTTTCAAGGGTACCGTTGTAAATCGGATTGTCTCATTTTTACACGGAGTGGAGGTTCTCTTGAAATTACGCTTACAGTCCCTTTAAATAACTTGAAGTTTTGTTCTTTTACTCCCACTTCCCATCCTGGGTGGTAAGCCCTGCCAATTACTATGCAAAGATGTGCAAAAATATTTTTTATAAATTACAACTTTGACGGGACCGCAGCTCACTATTTACATTGCTACATTGCAAAACTTTTTAACAGCATAATCCCAAGAATGAATGGAAAAATTGACGATGATCTTATTTATTAATTAAAAATATATCAGAGTTCAAAAAAAGATTTTTCTTTAATGTGTTCAAAATGTAAACCCCTGAAGTGAGGCTGAAGCAAACGATTAACATAAACTTCCTTTGAGCAGTAGAAATCCGTATTGTGCCCTTTTGCTGCAAACATCATTATAAATGCATTTTCTAATGTTATTAATAATAATCATAGCAAACTCTCAACATAATTTTTACAATATAATCAGTTAGGGTCAAACCTTTCAGATTCAGGTCAGTTAGTGTCGAATCTTTCAGATTTGCAGATCAGTGAGGGTCGAATCTTTCAGATTCAGGTCAGTTAGGGTCGAATATTTCAGATTCAGGTCAGTTAGGGTCGAATCTTTCAGATTCAGGTCAGTTGTGGTCTAATCTTTTAAATTCACGTAATTTAAGGGTAAATTCTGTCAGGTCATTTCGGGTCAGGTAGGGTCAAACGTGTCAGGTCATTTGAGACCAATTAGGGTCAAACCTTCAGGTTCAGTTCAGTTAGAGTCAAATCTTTCAGATTCAGGTCAGTAAGGGTCAAACCTTTAAGATTCTGGTCAGTTAGGGTCAATCCTTTCAGTTTCTGGTTAGTTAGGGTCAAACCTTTCAGATTCAGGTCAGTTAGGGTCAATCCTCTCAGATCATTTGAGGTCAATTAAGGTCAATCCTTTCATATTCAGGTAATTTACTTTTCAGATTTAGGTCAGGTCTTGTCAATCCTTTAAGATCCTGTGAAGTATGATCCATCCTGTCAGATTCATGTCAGTTAAGGCCAATCCTTTCAGGTCAAAGAGGTCAGTTAGGGTCAATCCTCTCAAATTCAGGTCAGTTAGGGTCAAACCTTTCAGATTCAGGTCAGTTAGTTAGAATCTTTAAGATTCTGGTCAAGCAACTTCAAGCCTGTCAGATTCAGGTCAGTTAGGGTCAAACCTTTCTGATATAGGTCACTAGCGGTCAATCCTTTCAGGTCGTTTGAGGTCAATTCTTTTAGGTTATTTTTCGGTCAAGGGCAATCCTTTCAGGTCATTTGCGGTTAACCCTTTAAGTAATTTTACCGTTTTAGGAAGTTTGGTTTCTGGAACAAGTACTGCTGCAACTACTCCTATGCTCGACAACGTGGACGGAATCGCCAGGTCAGTAATACTTCGCTTTATTTTAGGTCGAGTTTATCCGAGTTAAGTCCAGTCAAGTTGAATTGAGCCGAGTTGAGTTGCGTTATACGAAAGCGTAAATGTTAATAAACTTTGAACTAAATAGAGTTAAGTTGAGTTAAGTTGACGAAGTTGAGTTAAGTTGAATTGGACAAAGTTGAGTTAAGTTGGATTGGACGAAGTTGAGTTAAGTTGAGTTGAACTTAATTGAGTTAAGTTGACTTGAACGAAGTTGAGTTACGTTGACTTGAACGAAATCGAGTTAAGTTGACTTTAACGAAGTTGAGTTAAGTTGAATTGGACGAAGTTGAGTTAAGTTGAATTGGACGAAGTTGAGTTAAGTTGAGTTGAACTAAATTGAGTTAAGTTGACTTGAACGAAGTTGAGTTACGTTGACTTGAACGAAATTGAGTTAAGTTGACTTTAACGAAGTTGAGTTAAGTTGACTTGAACGAAGTTGAGTTAAGTTGACTTGAACGAAGTTGAGTTACGTTGACTTTAACGGAGATGAGTTAAGTTGACTTGAACTAAATTGAGTTAAGTTGACTTGAACGAAGTTGAGTTAAGTTGGCTTGAACGAAGTAGAGTTAAGTTGACTTGAACGGAGTTGATTTAAGTTGACATAAACTGAGTTGAGTTAAGTTGACTTGAACGGAATTGATTTAAGTTGACTTGAACGGAATTGATTTAAGTTGACATAAACGTAGTTGAGTTAAGTTGACATAAACGTAGTTGGGTTAAGTTGACTTGAACGAAGTTAAGTTGACTTGAATGAAGTTAGGTTAAGTTGACTTGAATGAAGTTAAGTTAAGTTGACTTGAACGAAGTTAAGTTGAGTTGACTTGAACGAAGTTAAGTTGAGCTTTGTTGATAATCTGATTGTTAGATTTTTCAGATATAGATTTTAATTAATCGTTTTTCTGATGAAAAATGTTTTTAAAATCTCATAAAAAAAAATCATCTAAAATGATAGGTCTGCGTATGAGCGGAGGATAGACAGGTTGGAAAAGGAGAAGCAGGAGTTGACAAGGAAGCTGGGGGAGACTACCAGAACCCTGCAGGAGATGGTAAGCACCTTTAAGGGAGTGTTCCCTTATTTTGACAAGGGAATAAAAGGGAGTTAATCGTGCATCATTATTAGATAAGAACTTATCAATTCGTGTTTTTTCCGAAAATAAAATCAGGGTCTTGTACAGACTATAGAGGGATTTGACCTTTTCGGTTTTTCTTGAGGGATGGGGCTAAATAGCCCCTTGGAAAACAGATTTTACTTATACAGGAGGCTTGGCCCCCTTATCCTCTCCTACTGTTTAATCCCTTGAATACATGTGCCTAGGATCCATTTGATGCGGATCCGCTCCGAACAAAAATGGATCCGGATCCGGGTCATTTAATGATTTTTGCACAAATCTAGAAATATCAAAAAACGATTGCTTATTTGTATGCCTTATTTTGGTTGATATTTTGGATCCGCATGTTGTTGCGGATCCGGATCCAGGATGTGTTATAATCCTTTACGGGAGAATAAAAGTCATATTTCTTCGTTTGGATTTAACAGTGTCATTATTCATATATATATATATACTACATATACATTTGCACTTATTAACTTCTAGTGAATAATTAATAAACCTGAACCTAATTATAGCCTCATTTATTGTAAATTAGTCGTTATGTAACACATGTCATATTTCCAACTGGTTTTCTATCTAATTATCTATCTATAATCTATTTATATCTATTTAATTTATTTAACAGAATGCATAGTTAACCACTTAGTTTTGTGAGTTTGCACAAATAATGCAAATTGCTCAGCTAAAATATTTATGTTTTGTTTTATCCAACATAAAGTCGTTCCATTTTGATGCGGATCCGTATCCTGAATTTAGACTTGTGAAAAATGAACCCGGATGTGTATTTTAATTCTAGATCCGGATGATTTTTTTCTGAGTTGAAAATTGATAATGATTTATTCAAGTTTTGTTTTGACCTCAAGAAAAAAGAAAGGATTTGGTATATGTTGCACTGAGATCCGAATATACTGATCCGGTGGGGTATTGCAGATCCACATGAATATTCCGGATTCTAAGTAATTATTTAATCCTTCTTTTTGTTCAGGCCCATGGGGGTAAAGTGCCTGATAGTATAGAAAGTAGTGGCGAGGATAGCTCAGCACTTCTTATCAAACTAAAAGGTAACATAGATGATAAAGGGATATTTTTATTTTGAAATTTGTTTAGAAAATATTTTTAGAAAATAAAAATTTAAAAATATTAACTCCAACTCTTAATTGGTATTTACTAACTTTTATCTACATATCCCAATTTTATTCATTAAAGATAAAATTGAAATATTTTCTACAAAAATGTGCTTAAAGGGACTTGCGGTGTGATAAAAGTGATTCCCTGATTGACATGCTCAATTAACAACGATACCCTTGTTGATGCCTTTGTTTTGGCCAAATAAATAATTTTCAACAACATGGTTTCTCAGTAAGATAGTTTTGAGGATTTTGAATATGGAAAAACTCGATAATTTCTCGATCTGTGTTGCTCAGTTAAGAGTTTTAATGGGCACTGATGTCAATCGTGCATGGAACTCAATAAAGGGTCGCGGGTAAATACGTTTACAGACCTTTTAAACATTTGTTTTCGAGGGAAGTATACTCACCCCTGAATAGAGCAACAATCGAATAATCGGACTAATTGATATTTAGATTATGAATATTACTTAGAATATTAGGTTGATGTCTAATCTATCATTAACTAATTGGTAGAACTTGTTGGGAGGGGAGAGAAGACTAGGGAGGGCTTGATAATTTACAGGAAACGTTGTATGATTAAACAAAATGATGCAGATTTTTTATCCTACTCAATCTTTCTTGTTTTATCTTTCCTACTCAATAAATGATTATATCTTTCTTGTTTTATCTTTCCTACTCAATACGAGATTATATCTTTCTTGTTTTATCTTTCCTGCTCAATACAAGATTATATCTTTCTTGTTTTATCTTTCCTGCTCAATACGAGATTATATCTTTCTTGTTTTATCTTTCCTACTCAATACGAGATTATTTCTCTCTTGTTTTATCTTTCCTACTCAATAAAAGATTATATCTTTCTTGTTTTATCTTTCCTGCTCAATACGCGGTTATATCTTTCTTGTTTTATCTTTCCTGCTCAATAGAAAATTAATTCCTTGAACTCTTCTCAATCAAATTATCAAAGAAACAAGAAGTTTAATATTACAGTTCTGTAAATTTGAATTTTGCCAATCTAATAATTTAGCGGGAATTACGCTCAACTTTTAACCTTTACCCCCCCCTCGATCGGATTTTTTAATTTACAAGAACCTATTTCCGTTCAAGGACCTGCATTATTTCCAACTAAACGAGTACAAATTGACACCATATATGGGCTGGTAAAGAACTTAAAGAACCCGATGAGTCATTGCAATAATTTCAAGAAAAGTTGGGAGTGTTGAAAAGAATAGGGTGTGAAAAATGAGAAATGTTGAAAAATTTAGGAGTTAAAATTATCCTATTTCCCTATTACCCTATTGCACCGGCTCAGTCAAATGATTTTCGTTAAGGGGTCTGTGATAACAGTTCACAAACTTTTTTTTAATACGAATTACCGCATAAACCTCAAAATTTCAATTCAACGATTTAAGCCCCATTTGGAATTTTCCCTGTATAGAATGTAAGAAATTGATTTTTGACACGAAAAATGGCGGAAACCTAATTGTGTGTTTGTTTCTAGAATCTGCGAGTAAGGTTGAGAACCTGGAAATGGTGAACCAGGACCTGGTGACCAGGAACCTTGTCTTGGAGCAGGGGGAGGCTGAGAGAGCAAGGTTTGCCATATAAAAAATCTTTTAGAAAAAAACATCAATAAAATAATACAAGTTTCACCCACTTTGAGGTTGAATAGTGAGAAGTAGATGAACTAGCTTTAGATAGTTAAACTATTTTGGATAGTTAAACTACTTTTGCGGCCTCGAGATTTGTAAATATACAAAGTTTTGCACTTCTAGACCATATTATAAATGATAACCCAAAAAATATAACATTTTCCAAAATTTACAATCTATTTCAGACCATAATACAATACCAAGTATTCTTGATTTAAAACACAACAAAGAAATGTTGATAGCTTTTCATGTTTGATTGATTGATTGTTTTTACTTTTTTTTGCTTGATTGATTGTATATTTAGAATAATGCGTGAGCTAGAGCGAAGTATGTTGAGCTCGAAACAAGAGAAGGAAGATCTATCCAGAGATCTTTGTGAGGTTTGTTTTCTTATTACCAAAAAAGGGGGGGGGGAGGAATAAAAATGATCGTAGACTCCATCTTTCTAGTTATGATTTTCAGAAAATCATCTTTTTAACTCCGATATTGGAATTCTTAAATTTTTTTATTTCATGGAAAAATGTAATCTAATTTATCAAGCCAGAAATTCTTATAAAAATAAAAACTTGGTTATTTCATTGTCTATTTTCATTAATAATGTTCTGCAGGCCCAGGAGAAGTTGAAACTGCAAAGTAAAGAATTAAAAGATGCTCTGCAGCAGAGGAAACTAGCTATGGCAGAGTATACAGAGGTTACAGACAAGTAAGTTTCTCCACTCTCTTTCTCCCCTCCCCCTTTTATTCTGTTTTATTTTTGATCTCCAGCTTTATTTAAAAAAAAACTTGTATTTAAATATTAGTTTTTTTGAGAAAGGTTTTTTCTTTTTCTGACTTAATTATTTTTCTAGATTGTCAGAGATGCGTCAGCAGAAACAGAAATTGTCGAGACAGGTAAAATAATGAAAATATTAACCATTTTTCTTGGGTTGAAAATAAATATAAAAAAGTATTTATTAATTTAAATGTTTATAATTATTAGGATTTTTGGTGAGACGAATAATTGTTAATTCTTTTCTTTCTCCCTTGGTCAAATCCCATAATCTCATATTTTAAATGATAACTGACATCAGTTTATGTAAATAATAAAAATTTAAAGATAAAAAATGTTCTTAACATCGTATAACATTTACGATATGTTGGTTTAAGAAATGAATTTTAAATTATTGCCAATGATAATGTTTAACTCTTTGCATTAAATTTAAATTATTGTAGCAATAATATTGATACTAACTAGGTTCGAGACAAGGAAGAAGAGCTTGAGAACTCTCTGCAGAAGATTGATAGTTTACGTCAGGATATCAGGAAAGCAGAGAAGCTACGAAGAGAACTCGAGGTAGTGATTTTTTAATTGATAAATAAATATCTATTTTTTTGGTTATTTGGTAAGTTAATCTCTAGACCCCAATTAGTGGTATATTGAGAATATCTGCGGGTCTATAGATTCATTGAGTAACTATATATATCACTATTTTTACTCAAACAATGTCTCCAGCATATCGTTGGTAAATGTGTTAAAACGTTTTAGGATTTCTAGCGTTTTAACTTCTCCCGGCAAACTGTTCCAAAAATTCACTACTCTCTGACTAAAAAAATAGCTCTTGATTCCAGTCTCATCAGATTTAGGGGATCTGCAGTTAGACGAGTTAGTCTATGTTCTCCTGATCCGACTATGTTAAACCATGTTTCACTCTTAACATCATCAAAACCATGGATAATCTTAAATGTTTGTATCATGTCAATATAGATTCTTCTTTTCTCCAGGGATTCAAGTCATAGTTCTTTTAGTTTATCTTCATAGTTTCTACCAGACAGTCCAGATATTTATCTAACAGTTTTTGAAAAAATCATTCTTGTTGTTTCTTTTTTGCTGTACCGTTTCCAATGTTAAATCACTTAAGATTTCCATTTAAAGTTTATTATTATGAAGTTTTTTCTGTTTTTTAGAAGCTTTTTTTAAACATTAAGTTTAATATAATTTTAGTTGAAGGCTGAAGAAGCATTCAATGAGACCTCTAAAGAACGTAAATTGAGAGAGAAGGCTGAGAGTTCACTTAGAGTAAGTTTAATGGTTAGATCAATTGTTTAAAGTTGATATTTGTCGGAAAATATTTTAAATAATTGACTGATTATTTAAATTATTGATTAAGAGTAAATGAATTTATTTTATTAATTGACTTATTGATGAAAATTTGATGCATAGATTGACTGATTTTATGATAAATTGATCAATCAATGATTTATTTATAATACTTACTGAATAGATTGATTGGTTGATTGACTGATCGATTGATTAATGGATTGATGAATTAAAAGTGTGGTTGGTTAATACTGGTTGAATGATTGGTTGATTGACTGATTGATGGATTGATTGTCCAGGTATCTGGAGGATGTGTTGTAGAGGCTGGTAATGAGGTTGGAGGAGATCAATCTGCTGAAATATCGAGGCTCAAACAACAGGTAAACACATCTCAGCCAGAACTTTTATCAACTTTTTTTCCGAAATATTTTTATTGAAAACGATTTATTATGAAGTCATTCCCCATCCCATGCCTTAAAAATTGTAAAATATTAAAAATTCTTTTCGTATACATAGAGGATAACAGGTTTGCTCACTCATGGGTTGAGATACTTCTTATTTTTTTATTATTTCGGCCAATATCCCCATAATACAACAATTATAATTTTTTAACTCTTTTCTTACATGAGAATGATACAAGTTTGTGCACTCTTGGGTTGAATAATACTGGAGGAGCTACGAGCTTACAGAGATGTACATTGTACAAGTAATGGTACAATTTAGTATCTTAATGGATACATTTCGGGGGCTGGAAGCGCCAAAACATATTTCTATGACTGCATAGTTGCATTTTATTAGTAAAAATTATCATTTCAAGCGGAAGATAAATGTAATGACGCCATTAAAAAAAATGACAACTCTACTTTTGCAATCTTAAAAGAAAATTTAAATTTTGAATAAAATGATAGCTTTTATTAAAAGGTTGATTAAGGAATAATAACAAGAGTAAAAATTGTCCTATTTAGATTGAGAGGTTAGAGGTTGAAGGAACCGAGGCTATGCTACTCCAACAGCAGAGGATGTCCCAGGATACTCTGGAGCTACGCCAGAGGTTGGAGGAGGTCGAGGCGGAGAAAAGGCGGATAGAACAAGAGTTATCCTCCGCCAGGGAGAGGTTAGAGAGAGCTAGGAATGATAATATGCAGGTATTGTTTAACATGCTTAATGAACAACGGGTTGTCCTAAATTAATAATAATGGCGCTTGGCAGTTGGCAGTTGGCACGCCTCTTTTTTGGGGGGAAAAATCTCCAAATGAATGTAATTTTTACAGTATTTTCTCTTCGTACATTATAAGAAAAAACAGTAAATCTAAACATCTTAAGTCTCTTCGCTCATATATATATGTTATCTATACCAAACTGATGAATATATTAGCTGACATTTTTTGAGGGAATCCTTGGGTACCCCAAACGGTGACATAGGCTAATAAAAACAAAATTTTTTTTAGAATTTCAAAAAAAAATATTTAAAATTCCACGGGGAACGTTGGGCACTTCAGCTAGCATGTTGTTATAAATTAACAACCCTACCTGTTGGTCTTTTTAGGTTCCAATGACATTTATTGGATTGATAAAACAAACAAAAAAGATAAAAGTCACTATTTTTATTCTGTACTCAAATCTGCTACAGGAGAATGACGATGTGATCCAGGAGTTAAGAACCCTCCACGACAAAGAGAAGAACTTGTTGATGGAGGAGAACAACAAGCTCTCAGCTGAACTTGAGAGAAGTATCGAGGTATTTGAATATTAAAGGGAATGTTCAGGAATTTTAAAAATGGCTTCAATCAAGTTGCAACAAGCTTTTATGAAACTATTGTGATCTCTTCATCGTAAATTTCCATATAGACGTGCAATTTGCATGTTATAAATAAGCTGTATAATTATTTTGGTTCAGTGAGGGACAAACTAAAATCTAAAAAAGTTTGAACTTTCTCGATAAAGATAAAATTTCTGTCCAAAAAAACACTGCGATCCAAAAAAAATAACTAGTATAATTAATAGTTTAATAAAGAGAGTGACCTTGTAGACATGGTAGTTGAGATTACAGTATTGTAGAACAATTTTATTGGCCTATCTCAAACCTATATTAGACGTTTTTCCGCTGAAAAATTGTTCCCACTCTCGCTGAACAATTTTACACCGTAAAAACGTCTACTAAGTCTCAAATTAATCCGGTGAAAAAAATCTACAATACTGCACTCTCAACTCAACTACCATGTTTTCGCGGTCACTGTAACTTGTATAATCTTCACGCCCCAGATTATTTGATATTTCTCTATATATACAAACAGATGTATTTCTTTTTGGGGGATAGGGTAACCTTTAAAACCTCTGATTAACATAAACGTATCCAGATATCTACTCGGCTGCAAGCTGACCGGAGACACCTGGACGACGAGTTCACCGACCTCCAGGGGAAGAAGGAGATGGTGGCGCAGTGGGAGCAACAGATTGCCGAGATCATTCAGTGGGTTAATGATGAGAAGGATGCACGTGGTTATCTTCAGGTCAGTGCGCTTAATTTCTTTATAAAGGGACTGTTTACGTAATTTAAAGAGACCCTCAATTAATGCGTTTTATGACGGATTTACAACAGTGCCCTTTATTCGTTAAGAGTACACTATAGTCGTTGTTAAGTTTCCTTGCTTTGTAGCATAAATCCGCAAGTCATTAATATGGGCTTATCAAAACAAACAAGGATATCTCTTTCTGTTTTGCTCAGCCACAGGTTCCAAGGTATTGATGTGAATGGAAGGTCCCATAAAATTACATATCCAGTCCCTTAAAATAATGTTAGTTGACTGGTTATTCACAAAACTGTGTCAAAAAATCGCTTATTACGATATGAAAAATCGTAAGAAAACAAAATTAATTTTTTCTTTATCTTTGAAAAAAAGTTAAATAGTATTAAGAGGGGAGGGGGGGAGTTTCTTTTGTTAGTTTTCCCCCTGGTTGAAAAGTTATCCCAACTAAGTTTTCCCTCAATTCCTTGATGTAATTAATCCATGGGAAATAATTACTTGTTGTCAGGTTCTTCAGTCTAGGATCAGGATTACTACATTCAATCTGTCCAAGACGATTATCAGCTTTGAGGGAGGGGGGGTCAGATCTTTTTCTTGAATTTTATTCTAGATAGAGTAACAATAGATATGTTCTTACTTACAGATAAAATGGTTTTTTTTTCGAATTGATCAGTTGGTCATTTTTTGGATTGCTCAATGTTCATACAATATTTCAATTTTTGGCTTTTAATTTAATTTGTGCCATTTTTCTATACATTCACTAATAAAATTATACTTTTTGCAATACTATGAAGTACTAGTTTAAGAACCCAGTGGTTACCCAGGGTATTCATAGTTATTCCCGCCGTTTACCCGTGTTTTTCTTAAATAAAATTTTTGCTATTTTTCCTTAAAAATGTGGACCACTCAACTAAGAATCTCAATACCAAGCTAAGCACATTCCCGTGGTTCTACCGAGTTCCCCAATCAAATTCAGAGGCAATTCGGTCAAAGGGTTTCAAGAGTTTTGATCGGACATGAAAACAGACAAACAGAGATTACAACATTATTTACATAGATAACGAATGTTGACATTTTTTAAGTTTTATATATTGAATTAATTCAGGCACTAGCAAGCAAACTGAGTGAGGAGATGGATTTGGTGAAGGGTATGCCCTCCAACCCTGCGGAGAAGAACTGGAAAAACCGAAGGTCCCAGAAGCTGGAGAAGATGGAGTTGTTGAACCTGCAGAGTAACCTCCAGAGTGAGATTCAGGCCAAGCAGGAGATATCCCAGGAGCTCAGTAAAATCAGATCCGAATTAGAAGCATCTAGAAAGTAAGATTTTCCTCTGTTGTTAGTTTCGTCGTCGTTATTAAATAATTTTCATAATCAAGTCTTCAGAATGGACATTTTGGGAGGACAATATCTACGCTAATTCAGCAATTATATACCGTTAAAACGTCTTACAGGTCTCAAAAGAATTCCAAAAAATCTCTACAATACTGCACGCTCAGCTGAACTATAATTCCTAGCCGGTCACTCCCTTTAAATCCGCGAAATGCTTTAAGAAATCCGCAAGATGGTTTTGATAACTCGTATCCAATCATACCCAATATAATTCAAAAGAATCGTCAACCTTATATTTCATGCTACAATTGAAGATTCAAAATAACTAGTTCACATAAAATGGAACCTTTTTCAGTCATTAAGATTATAAGATATAAACTTTAAGTTCCAAAAAGTAATATTTCGTTCAGAAAGGATAAGTTTGGAAAGGCATTTGTTTATTTGAATCCGCAAAATACTATTCGAAAATCTGCGGGATGGTTTAAACAATTTGGAAACAAAACCAAGGTAGTTTGAAAAATTTGTCATCTTAATTTGAAAAAATACTTGAAAATTACTTTTAACGAAGAATAAGAGTTAATCAAAATTCCTTAAAAGAACCCCACCGCCTCCCCATCCCCCCTTCAGGTCCTATCCTAGCTTAGTATGCCATGAATTCTTTTATGCCGTGTATTTTATTTACACAAAGTATATTGGATTTTACGTTTGAAAGAATACAACAAAACTTTCTTGAAACCTCCAGCATTGAGCATTCTAACTATTCCAGACACTCAGGATTCAAATTAATTCCTCAGTCTACAAACTGGAAATTAAATTGAAAGTTTTCTATTTCTTTAATCTTATTTTTTGGCATCTTAATTCCTACTAAATATCATACATTTGATCATATCCTACTCCAGAGAAATGCTACGGAAGGATTCCCAGATAAAAGAACTCCAGGGAAGAATTGAAAGCGACGGATGTAAGTACTCCATTTTAAGTGTTGCATGTTTATCAAAACTTCCGTAACAGTTTTTGGGAAAAGTTCAAAAACGAAATTGCGGAATTTTGATTCTCTTATTGTCAATGGAAATTGGCAGAAGCTGAATTGAAAATGATCATTCTGTTATTTAGTTTCTTCTCTTGATTTATCTATCCAACTTTTTACAAGTTTTTATATTTTGGGTTTTCAACATTTAGCTCTGTATCCTGGTATCTAACTAGGAAAAAAAGTTCTTGTATTACGTGACTTTTGTCCCTTTTTTACATTTCAAATGTTAAGGGAAAGTCATTTTATACAAATGATTTTCCCCTTCCCACGGGACTAATCATATCGGCAGGCATCAAGAAAGCCAGGGGATCCCGATTATTTGACGCATGCGGGAACCAGCTTGTGACAAACGGGAAAAAGAAAGGGTCAACTTCGTCCCTGGAAAAGCTTCCTGAGTCCCGGTCCATGGACCTGTGTCCGAACTCCCAAGAGTCAAAGCCCAAGTCCATCTTGAAGAACCGGGACCTTAGCCTGGCCCCTGTGAGTCGGGGGTCCATGGTGAAAAGTCAAAGCTTTGACAAGGACTCATCTCACCTAAACACCACTCCGAAGAAGGTTGTGAATCGTTCTGTGTCTCCCAACCCAACCCCCAGAGCACACTCACCAGAACTGGTAAAGGGGGTGAACAGGAAAGGACGAAAGGATGATTTTGAAGAAAGGAAAGATACCAAATCTAAGAAAGTGCGGCAAAGAAAAGACCGCGAAGTTGTTTTAACAGCTGAAAGTATTCATGAACAAGGAGATAAGGTTAATAATATGGTAGAAACTAAATCTAAAAACTTCATGAAGAAACTTTTCTTGTTGTAGCGGGGAACAACCTCTCTGTGACACAAACCTTTTAGTCAACAAATGTTTAGTCTTAGTTAAATTAAGAAGTGATTTATGAAAAGTATTTTGAACTAAAGTGATGAAAAAAATGTGATGGACAAACCAAACTTTAATCCCGAGTGTCTAGCCTTCTCTTCCTTCTGTCTTTATGGGTAATTTTAACGCGTGAATTGCCTGTCCGTTTTCAACCTTGAAGGGTGTCCATTAAAAAGTGTAAAGGTGGAACCCCCTTGAAGGCAAGTGTGAACTAAACCCTAAATGTTGGACACCCTGTATACTGAAAATTGATCCACGATACAGAGTTATGTGTGAACTAACAATAGTGTGGTCAAAACAAATATGAGACATCAATATGTAAACAAACATATCTTTAGTTTCAATGAGACGGCTTTTCAGACTTTTTAAAGTTCTTAGCGTTGATATCATGATTAACTTTATTTCAGAGCTGTAAATTTTCTCAATGTTTCTTCCCCCCCCCCTGAATTTTCTCAATTTGCTGAATTTGGGAAAATAAATGATTTTAGGCGAAAATTAATGAATTTTTGGGTAAAAAGCCTCAAAAAGAATGAATAAAGCCTTTTTATTAAAATTGCAAAAAGCCTGCCATAAAAATGATAGATTTCTTAATTTTTATACATACATTTATCATGTCTTTTTTGTTTTGAAGGGGCGGATTGTCCCTTCCCCCCCCCCCCAAGCCCTTAAAGAATAAAGTTTAAAAGTTGTTCTATTTATTTAACCGCTAACTTTATCTTGAATGTGTTGGGAAACCTCTAGAATTTATGCTGCAGTAACCTCGTCTGAGAATACTAAATTGAATTATGTGGAAAATCTTGAAATTGTTATAGTTTATAATTTTCCATCGAAACACATTCCGGCGGGGGGGGGGGAGGTTTGTATATATCAGAAAGCTCCAAAATACATTTTACCAATTCTAATTTCTAATATGAAAAAATGAAGACATGGTTTTTGGTTTTATAATTAAAAATAATGTTAAATCAATTAATCAACCTTTAATTCGAAGCAGCGCGATTCTGAAACTAATTAAATAGGGAGCGGGCGGCGTTAAATGTCCTGTCAAATTGGTAATTACTTAGCTCTCTTATTTACCAAGCTATCTGAATTACCCAGCTATCGTAATTTCTTAGCTATCTTAATTACTTAGCTATCATAATTACTTAGCTATTTTAATTACCTAGCTATCTTAATTACTTAGCTATCGTAATTACCCAGATATCATAATTACCTAGCTTTCTTAATTACCAAGCTATCTGAATTACCCAGCTATCTTTATTACTTAGCTATCTTTATTACTTAGCTATCTTAGTTACCTAGCTATCTTAATTACTTAGCTCTCATAATTTAGCTATAGCTATCGTAATTACTTAGCTATCTTAGTTACCTAGCTATCGTAATTACCTAGCTATATCTTAATTACCTAGCTATCTTAATTACCTAGCTATCTTAATTATCTAGCTAACTTAATTACCTAGCTATCTTAATTAAAGCTATCAAGGAGCGTGGACTAAGATCCCCTCGCATTGCTGGTAAGACAGGCAACAAGTATCAAATATGATTTAAAGGGACTGTCAGCGATATTTCAATTGTACCCGTCATTTAAAGAGTTACATGACCGTAGTCAACCTTTATCTGAGTAACTAGGAGGAAGGGTTGTCTATCTGGAAAGGAGATAAATTCTGTCGATATGTTTCCTTCTCTACTTTGCTTAAATCCGCATGAAATTTTTTATATTGAAAATGCGACAGAAATTTTATTATTTTTAAGACAGAAAATATAATTTTAACTCGATTTTACCAACTTAAAGGTCTAAAAATACTGTTCTGAATCAGTCCCTTCAGGCTTTTTTTATATCCTTGCATGTAAGAATACAACAATAAATATCTTAACACTGTGCTAATGATACATTTTGAACGGACACTGTCCTTTGATTAGTTTATTTTTCCCCATACTACTGTTTTTTAGATGCTGCATCCTTTTTTCCTCTCTACTTCATTACACAATATAATGAGCAAGATTTTTTTCGATTTTATCGAATTTAGAGATTTTTAGAGAATTTAGAGAATTTAGAGAATTTAGCTAGGACATTTGAATTAGATTTTAATTGCGTGATCCTCATTTTTACATTTACAAATGAATGTGTTGTGGATGAAAAAGGATTTTAAAGCAGTCTCTTAATTTCAATCCTTTTTTTAGATTTTATCTATATTTTGAGTTACCATGAAAATTTATTTCTTTATTTGAACATTAATCAAAACATATTATTTTGTTAATGTTGAAGTGTCTTTTTACATTTTGACTTTATTAACTTCTGATTGGTTCCGGCATGAAATTCTAAGTTAATTAATTCTTAAACGAAATTTTATGGAAAGAAATGTAAACAGAAATAGTGATAATACAGTGGGCTAAATCCGTTAAAACTACCTTTAAAGGTGTGACATGATAAGCACTCATTTCCCCCTTGTCCATGTAGTCACCCTTTGCATGTTGAACTAATTTTAAAATGGCGTGCTTACTGTTGGTCTGTTTCAGTGCTTGGAGAGAGGTCGTCTTCACAGATGTCGTTTCTTGATCAATTCTTGAAGGAGAGCAGTGTATCTAGGCATACAACACCAGGCAGAGAGACAAGTATTCCACCTCATCACACAAGATACTCAATAGGTCATTATCAAATTTTCATTTACCAAAGGAAACAATTCCCAAACGCCCTATTTGAATAATTCCCAAATGTTCTATTTGAAAAATTCCCTAATGCCTTATTTTAATAATTCCCAAATGGCCTATTGTAATTATTCCTGCCCTATTTGAAAAATTTCCAAATGGTCTATTTTGATAATTCCCAAATGCCCTATGTGAATAATCCTCAAAATGTCCTATTTGAAAAATTCCCAAATGTCCTATTTGAAAAATTCCCAAATGTCCTATCAGAAAAAATTCCCAAATGCCCTATTTGAATAATTCTCAAATGTCCTATTCTTATAATTCCCAAAACAAAAGATCTTTTTAAATTAATTACAGGTACTGTGCTCACTTTCAAAAACTGATATACTTAAAAAAAAACTGAAATTTTTTGGATATTATTAAAAAGTCGATGATGTTCCGTTCAATACTTTCTCAGGACCACTGTACGTATACTTACTAGTTGAGAAAATGCATCTCCCTACCCTCTGAAATAAATTAAATTTCAAAAATGAATAAATATTTTAGAATCTGAAGAAGGAGATGTTGAAGACAATAGAATTCCTTCAATAGCCAGCAGTAGATCAAATATGTCAGATCATTCAGCTGACATTGCAAACTCACCCCTGGCAGCTGGGGGCAACCCCAGGATCTCCGCCCCCCTCCAGAATACATCACTAGGGGCGGGGGCGGGGCTAACCCCCTCCTCCAATATATTAAAAGCCAAGTCTCATCAATTTATTATTCGAACATTTTCCTCTCCTCTCAAGTGTAATCATTGTACAAGTCTCATGGTCGGCCTTACTAGACAGGTACCCAGGACACGAACATGAACATGAACATGAACATGAACATGAACATGAACATGAACATGAACATGAACATGAACATGAACATGAACATGAACATGAACATGATCACTACCTTGACTATGACCAGGACCATGACCATGACCATAATCACTACCTTGACTATGACCAGGACCATGACCAAGAGTAAGATCAAGAACATGCCCTTGACCATGACCAAGAGCACTACCTCGACCATGACCAAGAGCACTACCTCGACCATGACCAGGACCACTACCATTGACCATGAACATGAACATCAACATGAACATCGACATGAACATGAACATGAACATCAACATCAACAACATTAACTTGAACATCAACTTGAACATCAACTTGAACATCAACTTGAACATTAACTTGAACATCAACTTGAACATAAACTTGAACATCAACTTGAACATCAACTTGAACATCAACTTGAACATCAACTTGAACATCAACTTGAACATCAACTTGAACATCAACTTGAACATGAGCATGAACATGAACATGAATATGAACATGACCTTGACCTTGACCTTGACCTTTACTATTACCATGGTTAAGATCAAGAACATTAACATGATTACCTTGACCATGTCCAATACCGAGGGCGAGAACATGTCAGTTACCTTGATTATGACCATAACTGAGAACATAATCATGACCGTGACCAAGACCATGACCATTACAATGATCAAGATAAAGATTATGACCACGATCATGATCACTTCTGAATGAACTTTTAAGATACCTCTAATATTCGTTATCCGATATGTCTTATCTAAGGCATCTGAAACTGCGATTATAGTAAATACTTGGGGTTTGGGTAATATTTCCTTTTAGATACTGTTGAATGACAATCACAATATAAGTCACTCACACAACTTTTTTGACATTGACCAATGACCAAAACCGCGACCATGACATTGCAAAACTGAATAAATTGAAAATATTTTTTTATTTCAGGGTGTTGTGTGTGAGGTTTGTGGGTTTGCTTGTCATATTCGGTGTAAAGATCGTGTGCCGGCCATGTGTCCGGTTCCCCCCGACCAGACTAAACGTCCCTTGGGAATTGACCCCACCAGGGGTATAGGTACAGCCTACGAGGGCTACGTCAAGGTACCTAAGCCCGGCGGAGTAAAGAAAGGTTGGCAAAGACAGTTTGTTGTGGTTTGTGATTTTAAATTGTTTCTCTACGAACTCCAGGCTACAGCTCCAGCAGTGGCAGTTTCACAGGTAAAATTAGATACCCCAACCCCAACCTTTAAAAAATCCACTAGCTCCACAATATTTTATTAGCTCCTTGGATCCGGAACCATATCCATGGATCCGGAATTAAGTGGCAAAATATCGTTTAAAATATCAGAAAAATATATTTTTAATGAGAGATAATTGAAAGATTCCTAATTATTAAATGGCACAACAAATGTTCACATCAAAATTAACCAAAAAAGAATTTGGACAATTTTGGAAATCTAGATTTAGAAATTAAGGGGAATTGAAGAAATAATCAAAATCAGTAGGATCCCATTATTTCATGACATTTTTTATTTCATTAATGATATTGGGAGTTCTACTCCTTTTTTATTTATTTGATGAAATCTCATATTTAATTTTAGAAATTTGGTTATTTCAAAGAATGCTCAGTAAATGTTTGTACTCCGTTAACTTACATTGAAGAAGGGCAATTCATAACATTTTTCTTAAACCACAATGTTATACTTTTTTAACACTCAACGTCTGTAATTTAGTTTAAAATTAAATCTCTTTTAAAGTTACACTGAGAAATATTGTTCAATTTTCTGAAAACTATTTTCTATTCAATTTATTCTCAAATTAAGGAAAGTTTTAAAATGGATTTTAGAAAAATTAATTTTTAATAAAATTTTAAATTAATGTAAAATTAATGAACTTTTCAGTGGCAGTTTCGAGCACCTGCCTGTGTAGCTGGGCAGGGCGGTACGGGGACCCATATCACATGACGTGGGAGAGAGGGGGGGGGGCCTGGGATTTCATTGTTTTTATGGTTATAAATTAATCAATTAATCCATGTCCTGTAATCAGGTATTAGATATGCGGGACCCGGAGTTTGAAGTGTCGAGTGTACGAGAAAGTGACGTCATCCATGCATCTAAAAAGGTGAATAATACAATTAAGTTAGAATATTATTAAATCATAGATGCAAAATGAATCTAAATCTACGTGCATTCTTCGTGCAACAACAATATTTTCTGATTGGTTCAGTCGTTACGGGAAAATTAACAAACACAGTATTCAAATATAAACAACGATAAATAGATTTTTTTAAAGATTAATTAATGGTTAAAACATTGATGTTCCAAATTTAGGATGTACCGAGTATATTCCGTGTAACGACTAGTTTAATGGACCCCCCAGGTATAAGACACCAGTGCTTAATGTTGGCCGACAGCGAGAGTGAGAAAACAAAATGGGTTGTAGCACTCAACGAGCTCCATAGGATACTAAAGAAAAACAAGCTTCCAGATAGGTAAACAAAATATGTTTTTCTTGGAAATCCCCCCCCCNTGTTGCGGCAATAAAGTTTTAAGGTTTTATCGATGAACACTACTTATGAAGTTGTTTTGCCTAGAAAATCCTTTAAAGTTTTTAATTTCACTATTTCTGAAGAAAAATAAGACACTTTTGCGATTTCAGCTATTATACAGCTATTATACTACCAAGTCATCTTACAAACCTCTAAATTAGGAGTTTCGGAAGCAGAAATATAAAAAAGATTTAATCGTTTGTTTATTCATATAACCTTTAAAAAAGTTACGTATTTTGTAAATATTTTGATATTTAAGCTAATCCAATATTATATATGACGCTTTTGACAGTGTACAATAAATACATGGTATATTCACATTGTAAATATATAAATTAAACCAGAGCTGGGAACTTTAGAATGGTGGATATCGGGATTAATGCTTGATCCACTCTTTTTCTTAATCTCCAGATTAAATATTGCTTGTTGTCCTCATGAATTTAATCTCCAGATTAATTAACAGATCGGGATTTAGGATATCAGATTCTAAAGTTTTCAGCTCTGATCTTCAGATCCAGTGATTCTCGATTCACAACTTTACCCTGGATAAAATAATCCTGATCGTAAAAAAATTAGATATCAATAAAGCCTCTTTAAAATCGGATATTTTCATTTTTCGTTCCTCCACTAAATTGACTTGGAGATTTCTGTTACCTAAGAGGTATAGGAAATTGCAAGAATTGGAATCTCTGCAAGCTGTAAACCGACTTTATCTTCCTTATTATTGAAAATCATTTAAGGGGTACCTTTGTAAATCGGGCATTTCGGCGAAAGGGCATTTAAATGAAAACTTAAAAATAAAAAAACATTTCTATGTTTAGAAAAATTGATGCTTCAAAATTGTTTACACTTTTTTGAAAAGATTTCGTGAATATCTCAAATTTTTATTTAGGACCGTGTACAAGTGCAAAGAGGTAATGGACAACCAGGTGACTGTGATCAAGAACGCCCTGTCCGCCTGTCTGATTGACCAGGATAGGTTGGTCGTGGGTACAGAGGAGGGACTCTACTCAGTAGACCTGGAGAGAGACGGTGAGTTTTTCATAAATCATTCTTTTTTCAAAAGTTTCAACTAATTTCATCTCCATTTTTTATTTTTTTATTCTAAACTTCAGGGTGTTGTAACATTTAGTTCAATATCAATTCATAAGTTTTTACTTCCACTTTTTTACATTTATAACTATTTACTTATATATTTTTTTATTGTTTTTTTTTTCTTTTATTAATTCATCCTTTTATCTAAAAAATATCATCCATTTCCTCAATTAATTTTTTCAGTCTAATTTCATTATTTATTAATTTTCATATATTTTCTCATTTCCCTTATTTATTCATTAACTAATTTATCTATTTCCTTTCTCGTTATTAAAGAGACTGATAGCGTTAGTTTAAGTAACCCTCCATACAATGATAACAATGCCCGATTCACAACGGTACCCTTTTAATCTTTGTATGATCAATACCGTGGAAGAACTGTTAGTTATTATGTTTAATTCAAATAATTCCTTTGTGTTTTCCTGCATTAGAAATTCGCAACTGTTGTAGAAAAACCACAAATAAAAATAATATTTTTTTGAAATTATAAACATTGATATCTAATGCATACTTGATCAGACAAAGCTTTTTAGTGTACCGTTATGAATCGGGCATTGTAATTTCTGCCTGGAGGGTCATTTTTAACTATGCTTACAGTTCTTTAACTCATCTTTTATTTCAATCAACATTTTTGAATTCTAGAAATTTTGAATGTTTATAAATTTGTCGTGTTGGAGAAGGAAAGAAACTTCATCAAGTCGAATATCTTCAGGTTTGAAGACCATCATTTTGTTGGGGTGAAAAGTTTTTTTATCGCTGAATTTGGGAAAATAAATTTTTTTTTGGGGGGGGGGGANAAAAATATTTTTTTCCCGAGGGGGGGGGGGTAACTCTGATAAATATACCCTGAACCGAAAACATTGCCAAAAGTGGATGAATTTTTGGGTTTTTGGGTAAAGAAGTAGCTAAGAAGTCGGTTGAAATCGAACACCTCACAATTCACACTCAGCTTAAAGTAAATGTATTCTTGGGAACTTACATGTACGGGAGCTCAAGTCCATGATTTTAAAGGATTGAAAGATTTCTCAAAGACATCTCAATTCTTTTCATCAGTCGTCCAAGTTTCTAAAATACAAAAAAAAATAAAAGTTTTTTCCTTTTCAGGAAGAACAACTTATAATTTGTCTGGCTGGCCGTCAGCGACAAATGCGCTTAGTTCCAATCCGCGCTCTGGAGCACACGGAAACAGAATGGATCAAAGTTGCGGATACCAAGGGCTGTATAGGTAAGCGCGTTAAGAACAAAAATATCTAAACGTAACAATAATTGATAAACTAAAAAAATGATTACGATTTTTCAAGAAAATATACACCCCTGTATTGTGGTGTTTAGTTTACTTGGCGACCAGCATCCGTTATCCTTGGTTCATCCTGACAATCAGATGCTGGGTTTCCTAGCATACAATCCTGTAGATGCTCTAGGGGCCATTGAACTTCCTAGGTATGTAATTTTAGATTTTTTAATCTTCAATGACAATTTTGGAATTTTGAATGAGACTTCAGAGACGAGTGTATTGAATATATACTGCCTGTTTCCTTTTATCCATGATTTCCTTCATCTATAAACTTGTGCCTTTCTTTGCAAAATCATTTAATAGTTAATTTAAACTTGGGATTATCATATCTTATGGGTTTTAGGTCGTCTTTACGTATCATCCTATTTGGGTAACTATGTATGTCCGGAAAACGAATAATATGATTGAGTAAAGATGCCGCAGATCAATGTTTTGCATTAGTTAAGGGTCAGAAGCTTAATAGTAAGCGTAGTCTTCCAGGACTCCTGTATTTTTCCTGTCTCATGGTTCAGTGAATTTCTTTAACTCAAGAATTTTCACAATTTTTGATATTTTTTAACAGGAAGTTTTACCTTCTTTAAAGATTTGAATATTTCCATTGATCTCCAGATTGTCAGAGGCCCAGATCATTCCATTTCTGATCCCAAATGGGATCGGGGTTAAAAGTACGTTTAGGAGCATGAAATTACACTTTCTGTGTCATTATGAACTTTGGCAAGTTTTTGTGTATGTCAAGACTTCAGAAATGTGTACTGCATTTGGGGTGTTAAAAGATGCATATATCAGTAATCAACCTAAGAGAAAAATTATGATGTACAAAAAATAAACACCCCATTGCAATATACATTTTGCAGTATGGATTTTTTTCAACTTGACATCAATCATACTTCCAATTGTTTACGATAACACCATGGTTAATTTCTGCCCCTAATATCAATCAATCAAAATTTGGGATCGTATTAGATGGATTTGTATGGACTCCTGCAGAATAGAAGTTATTTGTTTATTTTGTTAACTAATAATAATTGTATTATTTCAGGGGAGAATTTTTACTAATTTTCAACTCCTTGGGAGTGTATGTTGACCTACAGGGCCGGAAATCACGTGACCTGGAGATCATGTATCCGGCGCAACCCACGGCAATCGCTACAACTCCAGATGGTTTCCTTCTTGTTTACAGTGATACTCATATTGATGTCTTTGATGCTGCTGCAGGTAATTAAATCTTGATTAAAGTGATTATTATTCGTAAAGGAACTTTACGCGTAATTTCGAGTGAACCACCCTGCAAAGAGGGGAATGCCCTTTTTTTAACGGTACCCTTAAAACCTTTGAGGGTCTAAGGGTACCGCAGCAGATCGGGTATTGCCCTCTTTGCATGGTGGTTCACTTGAAATTACGCTTACAGTGGTATTTTAGTGACCCTCCATTTAAGCGCAATTTTCAGTCACCCTTTATTAAAAATGTTTTTTTAAATGACCTTGCATAAACGCCTTTTTCGTGTGAATTTCTGTTTACATGCTTTTTTATTGGGCCCGCTTTTTATAATTTATTCTAATTGACCCTTTGTTAAACTGCTTTTTTTAAATGACCTTGCATAAACGCCTTTTTCGTGTGAATTTCTGTTTACATGCTTTTTTATTTGGCCCGCTTTTTATAATTTATTCTAATTGAACCCTTTTTTAAATGTTATTTCAGTTAACCTGAGCAACTTATGTGTTTTAATGTTATTCAACGTGTCTTTGTGTCTTTTTCTAATTTTTTCTTAAGTAACCCCCTTTTAAGAGTTATTTGAGTGCACCTCTTTTTCAGCATTCTACTGAACATGATCTACTTAACGTTGTTATTTTAGGTGAATGGTGTCAGACGATAAATATTCGTAAAACGCGTCCCTTGTTAAAATCTGGACTTCTTAATCTTTCACTCTTACAGGAGCTTCCTCATGTAACTTTCCTCAGTAATATTCACAAAGGTAAACCAGAAATCTCTATCTATATATATAAAGTTGTAATCTCTGTTTGTCTGTCTGATTGTTTTTCCGATTCCCCCCCACTTTCTTCTGAAAAAGAACAACCCCGTGGGATTATATTAGTCGGGAGGTTAGTTTAGGTTAAAAGATATATAGATATTCACGTGAGGTTTTCTCTTTTCTGAAGGAATGGGCCCACGGCACATTTGATTAGAAATCACCGAGTAATGTGTTGCAGGTTATTATTTATGAGATCACAAGACTAAAAACGCGGCATGCGCGCCTGCGCGAGGTTCTTCTTCCGGCGCAAGCTCAGAGCTTGGATGTATTCGCTGATGGTCGACTCTGTGTTGGATACCAGTCAGGGTTTACAATTTACAGGTGAGAAAAGAAAAAAATTTGATCAGAAATTTTAAAAAAATTATATATATTGCAAAAAAATCTCGTGGCTTTTGGGAAAATAAAACTCAATAAAAACTTCAATTTTACTCTTGGACGATTTTGGGGGAGGGAAAATTAATTGCAGGGTGGCCAAAATGTACGGATTGTACGGATTGATTTTTTTTAACCCTAAAATTGTACGGATTGTACGGATTGTACGGATTGTACGGATTTGTTTTCAAATTGTACGGATTGTACGGATTTTATCCTGGAAAATACACCGTTTTTTTTAAATTTTCACTCATTTCAGCAAATACTTGTTAAAATCTGGACTTCTTAATCTTTCACTCTTACAGGAGCTTCCTCATGTAACTTTCCTCAGTAATATTCACAAAGGTAAACCAGAAATCTATATATGTAAAGTTATAACCTCTGTTTGTCTGTCTGATTGTTTGTCCGATTATAAATCAGAAACCTCTTGACCAAATTTTGATTGGGGAACTCGGGAGAGCCAAGGCAATGTCTTTAGCTTGGTTTTGATATTCAAAGTTGAGTGGATTGACTGTTTAGTTTTCCTGTAAAATCGACCAAGTGCGGGTAAAAGGCGGGAGTAACTTTGAGTAACCTGGGCAGCGCTGGGTTCCCAAGCTAGTAGAATCGTTTTGTTGACATTAAATACATCTTTTCTTTGTAGGCAATATTGCATCAATGCATATTGGAGTTGTGATATTTAAGATTTTGATTTGTTTTACAGTTGTGATGTTTTTTTCCTATAGTGTCTTTTTCAAACAGTATTTATACTAGCTGGGAGACAACTAACTATCTCTCCAACACTAGATACTATTCAAGTCCAATCTATAAGTTTAAACAATCATTCTTAGTTCTAATAAATAGGTTTTTGCTAAATGGGTTTTTATTAATAATGTGAGTTATGAGTTAACCAGAGCCGAGGCTCTGAACTTAACTGAAAATATTACAATGTTTGTAGGCTTATATAGGCCTGAATGCTTATAACATCTGGCAACATAATTTTGGCTATTTGCGCACAGTGATCACCAGAAAACTCTGGAATGAATAGGAAGTCGACTTTTGAACTCAAGTTAACTTTAAGAAAAGCTATCTGCCTTGAAACAACATTAAATATTATTAATATTTCTTTATAATATTGCTTTAATGTCGTCTTCCTATTCTACAGTTTTCTTGTTATCACTATAGCCTCTTCATTTTTGCCCTGCTTATCAACAATTAAAAAGTTTTTTCTTTTTTAATATTTTGGCAAAATTATTTTTTCAGTGAAGAATGGAGACGCATGAATTTAGGAACATTAACAATTAAAATAAAAATATTTCATGGCAAACAAACTTGGAAATTCATCTGATGACAAGTATCCAGTAATCAGACACAAATTGCATCTTTTATTTTTTTTCATTGACCTTGTTATGGCTTTAACTTTTTCGGTCAACTTGGTATTAATGGAAATATTCTGTGTTTAGAGGACATGTTGTGTGTTGTTAAGCCCAGTCTTGTTCTTGGACGGGATGGTAGACCAGTTCAAAGAACCAGAAGAAGATTCAGTATCAGAGATGCAAACAAACAAATCAAATCGTAAGTTCATTTGCATGCATGTATTGGTTAACTTTTATATTAAAGCATATTCTCGCCTAAAACTTACTTTCCACTCATATCACTCAATCTTGATTTGTAGGAAGTGTCCTGGACTATACTTTTGTAATATCTATCACAAACACAAATATTGAAGTAATTATTTGTCAAGGTTTTCATTTACATAATCTCTTGAGGAATAAAGTTTGATTAAGTAAAAGCTTTGATCAGCAATGATTAAAAAGCTTCTATAAATATTAGTAATATGCAACTTAAAGAAAGCTGCTTGCATATTTATATAAACCTGTGAGGTTAGTGGAAACTGGAAAAAGATCTGGGTTAGTTAATTCTTTAAGATGGTGTAAGATGGTTCTTTTGATGTTCTTACAGAAATGTTATATTATATCACATTATATGACATTCCATTTTGATTGAATTTTTTTTGTGATCAAAAAAATTAAGAAGATCTATTATAATGTTAAGCTTCTTGTATATTTATATGTTGTTTCTAAAAACTTCGGAAAGGAAGTTATGTTCTAAGATACTGAATATTTAGGATCTTTCATAGATATTGGGATATTTTACTGGTCAAGAAAGTCTATTGATACCCAACAGTAATACTTTTTGATAAAAAAATTGCTCATCTTGGATGACTCTTGGTTTATTCACAAGCTTATTTTTTACTTGACTCTTGACATGTTGGCCCACAATAAACATGAGTTACTTGACCCAATGTTCCACTAATTGTTTTGTTGTATGTAAGTAAGAGCAGTAAAACCCCCCACATGGCCAATGGACAATTATAATAATTTGTATCAGAAATTTTTTTTAGGAGCTTATTTCTTATAGATTATTATTAACAAGATGTATTTTATGATTGCCTGACTATTGATGGTATAACAACCCCCTTTAGGGACTGGGGCTGGTCAATGCTAACTCTAACTTCACGTTCAACTTCACTCTCCTGCCAGAGGGGGTTGGCTGATTCAACTCAAGCCTACTACAGGCATAGGCTACAATTTGGTAGAAATTCCCTGTTAAGAATACTTGCCCTGATAATTCTACTATTTGGGACTTTAAAAAAGGGCCTATTGTAATGTTTAAGATAATTTTTGTAGGTAATTGGCATCATGTCTATTTTCAGTAGAAATGTTGTCAATTAGCACAAATACAATTTGGGGTTACTTGATTCACAGTACTTATATAATTATGATTCAATGTGGGTTCTTTTGATTTTAATCATGATTTACATTTTAAGGGAAAACATTTGATTTGTTTTTTTTATTCATGGTTAGGACCATTAGTATTAGGAACAAAATTGCAAAACTCAGATCATCTTGACTTGGAAACCCTCTTTGTATAACAACAGGAGTAAAGGGATGTCCCTCTTGGTTATATTGCTACCAAGTTGTCAATTGAAGAGGGTCACGCTATATCCCTGAGGATTCCAGATCTATTGCAGAGGATTATCCTTCTCAAACCTCACGTAGACACTCGTATGTTAATCAATGTTTCCAAATCTTGTCCTTTTTATCTGGGGTAATACACTCTTAGAAACAACAAGTATTGAAGAAAAAGGTTCTAGGAGTGGATATATTTCAATGCTTTTCAGTGTTGTTAAAAGGTGTTAAGAAACATTTTGGTTAAAGAGATCTTAACATCTTTTGGCCTTTTTCTACATCCCAGCCTAAGATAATTTTTTAGCACGAAATCATTTAAACCTCCTAATTTTAATCTTTTTGTTTTATTCGCAAGATAATGATTACAAATTCTATTTTGTTGTCCTTCAATCAAATATTTTAGGTTTCAATGTATCAGCACTTTTAATATATATGAAAAAATAAATTTGTAGAGTAGATGGATTGTCCCATTCTTGTCCCAATATTTGGCTTCATCATGGTTATCTCAAACTTTCTTTAGTGGGCCTTTGAAGATGCTTTTGGATAGTCCTGTTATGAACAACCTATCCAACCTTAGCACTATGACACGGTAATTGTACTGCAAGGTTTCATGTTAGATGTACTATGACAACCCCAGTATTAGATCTAGCACTTCCCTCGTAGATGGAGATATGTGGCATAGCTTCATAGACTAACCTGCACTTGTTTTTGTGTAAACTCCCACCTCCTGTATAATCTTAGAAATAAATGCTAAACCTTTTTATATTTATTTCAGTTTCCTTGATATTAGAATAGAACTTTAAGTTTTTATTATTTTATATTAAAAATCTAGCTGAAAAGAAAGGATATCTGAAGTTGACATCTGAACTTTGTTATTTAAAAAAAGGATGAAGACAAAAGACAAATTATTTAATAGAGTTTTTTTGTCTGTGAAGAAAATGTTCCTTGCAGGCACATTTTATTATTGATCGATATTTTAAAATAAAAACTTGTTTTGGTACAGAAATTAGTTTTTATTATGGTGAGAACGGTAAGTTTATTTTGTTATCCATCTTAAACTTTAGCTTGTTATTTTTTTTATGCTTCACCATGGGCAGACCCCATATTTTGAATGTAAATAATACTGTCCTTTACATGACTAAAACCTTCCCAGTAGTTAAGATAAGAGTTTCTCCCACAGCCAATTTGAATCTGGCTACCTGTCCTACATAGTTCAAGCTGTTCTTAGACATGGTGTGTTCGGCTTTTTTTTCATTTTGTTAATTCATTTTTCGTGAACACCCAATTTTTTTCGTTTTATTTGTATGTTCAAAAAAAATTTTCGTTCATTTTTCATCTATTTCCTTTGTTTTCTCACAGAACTATTGTTCATGTCAATTTGTTCCTTCAATAAAAAAGCAATCGGTTTTCAAAACTTTTGGAAAGAGTGTTTTTAAAACAAGATAGTTTTTTATTTCTCTGAACGATTCAAGTCATTCGTCCATCTTTCCTTTTTTTCTAAATGACACTATCATTACCCTAAAAAATTGTTTGTTTACAAAAACGATGCACATCTCTAGCTGTCGTGCAAATTTCAAAATTGGATAGGAACCCCTATAAACTTAAGAAGTTAAAACTCCGCTAACTTACCATCAGCTGGGAAAAATCCTGTTATTTAAATTATATTTTTCTTTCTATAATACTTTTATTATATACGTTTCCTTGCAACTCCTTTGCTACTCTGATTTAAAAGTCCTTTTTTGTTGAATTAACTGTTTTTAGAGAGGTATTTATTTTGAGTTTAACTCTGAATATACTTGATTCGAAAACAGCTTTTTCAGATGTGTTAATGTAGAGTTAACGTTATTTTACATAATGTATAATGCATTTATTTTTGTAATCCTCGAATTGTCTAGGAATCCTGACCGAAGATCTAAGATGATATCTGCCCCATCAAACTTCAACCATATCTCTCATATGGGACCTGGAGACGGTATTCAGATACAGAGATTGCTTGATCTTCCCACAACATTGGAAACAGCAGACCAGGTTGGTTTTCAATTATAAACTTATTATTACAACTTCTTTGTAGTCTTAGCAAAATATTATGTCTAAAAAAATAAACTGTGAGAGGTCAATGATTTTCAATGCTTTTAGGAAATATTTTTAAAATTATAATAAAAGATTTATGTGGAATTCTTAAAATTTAGACATTAAAGCTTAATACATACTGTTTAAAACTTCCAGAATATCTTCTGGTAAAAAAGAAATCAGTAAATTTTATTGGAAGATGAATATGTATTTGAGTTTCAGTGATGTTATTTAATGCATTTCTTCCATTGTTATCTCTTATCCTTGTTAAGGTCCCTGCTGGTACCCCGGTAACATTAAATCAACCTGTACAGAGAGTCAAATCAATGTTTCACCAATCTGGAAGTAAACTGAACCCTCCTCGCCTACCCTCACATCCACCTCCTCCTCAAAGATCCATCAGTCACTCAGAGGTAACGGTTTACAGCTGTATTTAGTAATCCTTTGGTTTACCTCCCTAAATCCAGATCCAGTTATTGCAATTCAAATTATTATTTGGTTTGTAACTTTTGTACAATTATTCCATTCAACTATTTTCTCTGTTTCTGGGTAGCCAACAACCAAGGGTAAAACCGGTTTTATACAGGGTTAATATAATTATCATTTTCTCATAAATTACCAGGAAGGATCAGACACCTCATCCTTGTCTGGTTCCTGGGACCTTCAAGATATCATTGAGAGAGAAATATCTTCCACTAAGCTAAATCTTGTCAGAAAGTTTAGTTTTCGTCGACGGCCAAGTTTCTTCCGAAGCGCTTCATTAGAACAGCGCGGTGTAGAACGAGGAACCGGTGATCGAAGAGCTTTCAGTGTGGAACCAAGGCCACGTCTTCCAAGGATTGAGGATGAAAATTATATTTAGGTTACTACTGTGTTGACTGTTCCGGTGTATTTCCCGGCTTTGCATATAATCTTAAAACAAAATAGTCTACTTACAATTTGAACTAGTGCTTCATTAACTAAAATCTTAAAACTTACGAAGCAACATTGTTGGTTTTATGCCACTAATAGTCCCTGCTTGTACAAACTAAACATTTTGATTAATATTTTCTTTAAAGTATCTTTAGTTACTTCAAATTTTTTAATTGACACCCTCTTCACTGACAATTTTTGATTGGTTTTATCATTTCTAATTTGAGGCATGAGTGTTACTCCTTTTTCATTAATATCTAAATTTTTATATTGCTAAACAATCTTAAATCACCTGATTTTCACTGAAATTACACATGCTGCACAAATGGTTTTTTTATAGAATTTGTTAATACTTGTTTTTTTTCAGGAACCAAAATATAAAAATATCGCAGACGGTTAAACTATTTTGAAATTCATCTAACACCTATAAATACATAGTGGATAAAACTAATGTTGATACCTACCTAGCTTGCTTTGAACTTGCTTTTCTACCGGTTTTTTACTGTGAATATAATCTTATCATTTATTTTAGGCGGGTATGAGATCCTATCTGAATGGAAGCGGGAATTCAGGAACTCCGCCCCCTGCCCTAGGGCGTCCTCTTCCCCGCCCCGGACTCATGATGGGGCGGGCTAGCTCCTCCTCCCTCCCCCGCTCTCCGGAGAACGACTCCAGCTTCCTAACCTCTGGACTCGGAACAGGATCAGGATCGCTGATTGGGTCAACCTCCGGGCAGTCCGGTCAAGGGTCTCTTCTTGGGTCAAATCAATCTGGACAGGGGTCTCTTGGGTCACACAGCAGTCATGATGTTTCATACATGAATATTTATCAGAATACAAACCATCCTCATCTTTATGTAAGTAGATTTCCCCCGGTATCAATATGTCAATTAATCTTCTTTCTTTAATGATCAAAATCAAAACAAATTTAGTACATCTCCTCTTGTTGTATCTTAAAAGCTTCAAAATGAATTGAGTTATGAAAGTGAACAAAGATACATTTTTCCCCATTCAATTCTGTTTCTTAATAATTCCTAAAGTGTTTTTTTTATTCTTGAGAAGTACAGATATTTATCAGATTTGCAGTCTTCATTTATTTTTTATTTATTTTTATTTCAGGATACAAATTTGGACGGGTCTCCCCGTCACTCCCTTGGGTCAAACAACTCTAGTAATCTGAGCACTCCTCCCAGTCCTGCCAGAGAGCTCGGATCCTCATCATACGAATCATAAAATATCTTATTCTTCGCAACCTATCTGCATTGGTTCTACGTGGTAAAAGGGCGATACCTTATTCAGATGAACGTCACTAAATGGAATGTACACTCACAAGTGATTTTCTCTAATGGCCAATTCAAATTAAAAAGTAAAGTTGATTTTTATATATTTTTTTCTTCACTTAGAAAATTCTGATTAAATGAGACATATCTAGAATCTAGAGAAAGTTTTTAAGTACTTCGAAATTTTTTTCTGATGTGTTTTTTAAATTCATTCTGCGTTTTTTCCTCTACCTTTATTCAAAAGTTCTAAAAATCAACAAAGCTTCATAAATCGCAGCAGCTTGAAGATAACCCATTCTTGTGATAAATTAAGTTTGTAGAAAAGCATATCTGTTAAAACGTACGTGCAACAGCAACGGAAATTATTTCATTTTCTGTTACCAGATTACTTAGATGGCTTTTGGATTGGTTTTGTTTAAACAAAGTATTTTAATCAAATTTTCTTTTCAAGGCCGCGTATGAACACATTTTTATTTTTGTCTTCCAATTTTGTTTATCGTTTACGCGAGGTATAAATTTATCTCCCCAACATGTATATCATAACCTTGACATTTTGTACTTCGGATGTGATTTAAACAGTTCCGATTAGTCTACACTCTTGGTGTGAGAAATTGGCTTTCAATTTTCTTAAACACTTTTCTAAACATTTGATTAACTAGTCACAAAGTTGTCGTATTTATGAATTGTGTACACTGTACACTGTACACTGTACACTGTACACTGTACACTGTACAGTTATATTTATTGTTAAAAATACTCGGCACAATATATTGTACATGTACACTCAGTACTTTACTTTATGTACACCTTAATAATAGAATAAAAAAGACTACCCGCAAGGTTTAACTTAAAATAGTGATAGCCCCCCCCCCTCTCCCTTTAAACTTCAACCCCCCACCCCCTCTCTACAATTCATATTGCTCATTTATCTTTTTTATTGAATTATGTTATTGATAATTAGGACTCCATCGAAACCAAATTGGCGTTGAATATATGCATAAATATATATCGTGGTATGTAAAAAATAAAACAATAATTTATTGTTCATTTGTTATATTCAATAAAACATCATTTATACAAAATCTTTTATGTTTCTTCACTGTTATGCAGCAAGGAAGTTTTGATCAATTAATGAATTGGAAATTCCATTCAATTTAAACCAGCGTTCTTTATGTGTCTACTTTAGGAATGAAACTTTTTGGTCGTCCCTGGTAACCCACCTCCAATTGGAGGGGGGGGGGGGGGGGGCTGGCATGTTTTGTTAAATTTCGTATGAAGCACCTGCTATCTCCAAATGCATAGAAGTTTTGTGTGTCTGCTTTTAATGTGTTTGTTTATATACAAACCTGGGCTAATGTAATAGAAAAACAGCTGCTTCAAATGTATATATATAATGCAAGATAACAGCCAGGGGCGTATTTAGGGGGGGGGGTCATGGAGGCTTAGCCCCCACCTGGACCAGTGAAATCTATGATTTCAGGGGGTTTTCAGGCTCCAATGGGTGCTGAGCCCTCCTGGACAAATTCGTGAATACGCCCCTGATAACAGCTTCTAAATATATGTATATACATATACACTATACACCAAAGAATGGCCAGGGGTGCGGAAATCACAAGCTGTCAAAAGATCGAATAGAAATTTTTAGAATTTTTCTTCAAAACTAAATTTTATTTTATGGTCTATAAATTCTATTTATTTCTAGGGTGTAATGAATGTAATAATTTAAGATTTAAAGAAGTGTGATTATGAATAAATCGCCCCCAGACTACTAGTTATGACAGCTAGACTATCAGCTGTGACAGCTGGATTAGTAGCTGTCCTCTGGTCAGGTGAACGCAAGCTGTCGTGAAGGGCCTAGAATCTAGATAGTAAATTAATATTTAAGTTTTTTAAGCAGATCTGAAGAGCGTCCCATATCTTATTAGATTATCTCAAGTTTTAACGCCCAAATAAACCCAAAATACTCAAAAAACCTAGCATTTTCCGTTAGAAAATTCTGATACTAGCCTTTATTCAATTTTTCAAAATGATTTATTTTTCTCAAACTTTCTGATTAGTCTCAAAAATCGTAATTTATACCGATTGACGATAAGATGTGGTACACCCCGTAAGATAAAATTACTCTTCTATTTTTAAGACCAGGCCCGTAATTATGACTTTTATGAAGTGGGGGGGAGGGGCAGGCGCGCAATTCTAGACATTTGGTTAGGGGGGGGGGCAAGACAAATGTGTGTTATACTTAAACAATAAAAAAC